ATATTATGCTCTCTCCTCAGTTAACATTGCAGAGATCTTGGTTTGTTGGTTTTTTTTTTTAATGTAGCAGCTCACTTCCAAGATTTTTGGTCTTTTCATAAAGTATCTATAAACATCCTCCAAATGTTTCATAAATTTAATCAATCTGTTATACAGCAATATAAGATCTCCAGAATAATTTCCTTGCCAGAGAGACAAAACAGGGTTTAACACAAACAGAAAGAAATACCACTATAATAAATCTCTACTTGCTACTCAACTGCCTTTTATTCTTTTTTTTTTTCAGGCTTTGATTACTTGTCTTTGTAATTTTGAGATGCCCGTATTCTTTACATTTCACTCAGCAGTTAACAAGCTGTTCCATCCATTCATTTCTCTAAAGTGTATTGCTTAGCTTTATCTTGAAGATTTTAACTCCCATATTTTCTTTCATTCTTTATCCTCCTCAATACCCAATGCTATATTTGAAATAATTTTTTCTATTTGCTCAACAGAACAGGGATAGCAATAAATGTCTTTCAACATTCCTCCTTTTTTTTTTTTATATCTGCCTTTCTGGTTAATAGCCTACTGTACGTTTCTCAATGTTTTAGGAGCTGAAAGGCTGCCTCAAACCTATCTGCATACATTTTCTCTGGGACTTAGAAATCCAATTTTGATACCACACTCAATACATGAATAAATATTAGTAATTTATGCTCATACATTTATGCTCCTTTTAAAAATTAGTTGCTCATCAAAATCAAAGCAAGATTCAGAAGTACTAATTTGGAAAAATACCACTGTCAGCTGCTCTATGTCATTCTCCATCAGCAGAAAGCACCAATGTGGCACACTGGCACACAGCAGTCCATTTCAATCTCTGCATATGTATGTGTAATTGGACAGTATTTCTGTTACTAGTCATTCTCTCAATCTCTGTGGTGCCTAATGTTTTCCTCTGAATTTCCACCAAAAAAATTCCCTCATTTCCTGATATACAGTTATCATTTTGCCTCACATAGTTAAATTTAAGATGTGCAAGCAGGTAGCCTGTTAAAACACAGAGAACATCCTAGAGAATGACCTCTGAAATTGAATTACTAGCGAATACTGAAATTGAATTTTCAATGTGCACTGAGTAACAAGATTCAAGTTCTTGATTGAGGGCTCTCACTCCCTTGACAAAATATGATGTAAAGCCTGAAAAGGCTACCAGGAGTATGATGATGGGAACAAAGAGAATCAGTACTTCACCCACACATCATTCCAAGGCGAATGACAGATTAAAACAGTTGAAAAAACAGGAAAAACAGGAAAATCTTGTAAAGAATTAGGATGAAAGCACATGAAAGATTTGCATCAAAACTGAAACAAAGTGTCAAGAGTCCTGAGACATCTATTTCACTTAAGAGCAAATGGAACTTGTTAGAACAGGACAAATTTCAAAATACTGACCAGGACAACTTATCCAGTCTTGAATATGGCCTTAACTGTGTAAGACGGAAAAGACAGAAAGCATGCTGTTCTTATCTTGTGAATAAAGATAACAATATAAGCTGAAAGCAGGAATACCTGAAGAATACATTGAAATCCCCCAAACCAGGGAGGAGGAGACACAAAGATACTGATGATATTGATGATTCATGCCTAACCAACATACTGTTCTGCGTCTGACAGTTGAAAATGTAACTAGGTTACTTTGCAGTAATGATGCACAGGTGATGCTCACCAGTCTGCGAGAAGAAGCCATAAGCAATCAAACCAGAGTTCGACATTTTTCACCTTTTCTCCGCTCAGCTATGACCTTCCACATTCACTCAGCACACACACACAGAGTTCTTCAAATTTAAAAACCAATACAAATGTAGGTGTCTAACGGTCTACACCCATCACTGAGCTGCAGCTACCTCAGATGGGAAGAAAAAAAAATCAAAGGATAACAGAAGCTCTCTCCTCCTTTTGGAAATGTTTCAGAGTAAGAGAGTAAATCACACTGCTGCTTTAGACAACTACAGTACATGCAAAATTATGGTTTTCCAATGAGCAAACATGTCAAACAAACAAACAAAAAGGATCAATATCTGTTACCAGGCTAAACCCATGCCTTCTACTTTCTAAAGTGATTAGACACTGCTCATTATTAAGATTAATATTCTTCATGCACTACTTTATTGACTAGTTTTCAGACTGATGGAGTTCTACATGAATACAATTGTTTCCTAATGAACAAAGCAAGTAACAGCTTCTAAAAACTTCCACTGAGAACCCAGTACAGGGTCTGTACAAAAAAACCAGGCTGGGGTTTTTTGCTTTACCAAGCCTAAAACCTTTCCTATTTATCTGTCAGAATACACATTCATTCACTTATTTATTCTTTCAGAAAGTAAATTATTTCCTTATAATATGGTGGAATATTTCCCTTTTCTCTTCATTATCACCAGCTTACGGAAATAAAGTTACACACAATTGTTCTACGCATTGGAGTGTCCTGCAGGTACAGAGACAACCACTACGTGCAGTCCTCTGTGATCAACAGCTCTTTAAGGCAGGTTCCAAGGCTGGAGCTTCAGCATTGCAAAAATTAGTGTATGGTTAATCATTGATATAAAACTGCAGTATTCTGCTACTCTTATTTTTGCTGCATATAGCATCCTGGCCACAGAAGGCACTGCCTTTTGAGAAATGTTATAAGATGGGATGGAAGGATGTCACAGCACGCAATGTTGTGACACATTGCACATAACAGCAACACTCAAAACCAAAATACCAGGGATTGGCAGAGATACTGACAATAGGAGTGCATCACACTTGGGAGAAAACTCAGAACCACCTTCCAGACAGGCACATTTCTGTAACATGCTGTTTTGGTTGTTTGTTACTACAGAACAGAATCAGTTATCATTTTCCATCTGTAGAGACTGGGTACCTTAGACATTTGCAAGCTGGAGGCATTGCCATTTTTGGCATGAACATACTCATAAATGACAGTTGATTTCAAACCCAGAGAAAAATCATCTTTACAGGATTCTCAAAAATAGTCACTCAAAGACATGCACAGGCATAAAATCCATCATAAAGAAACTATAGGTGGTAAAAGAAAGAATGGCTCTGGCTTTGTACACAGATAGATTATTATTTGACTTTCTGTACAACTACAATATCACTTACGGGAAACCTTACTGCACCAAGTCAGAAAATTTCATAAAGAATACTTTGTCACCTATATCTGCCTTCTTCTCCTTGACTAGGACCAAATACCACAAATTTTGACACTATAGTAAAGAGTCTTTAAGCCATTTAGTTTCTGAAGTACTTTTTTTAAAGGAAGTTCAGCCAACCATGGCATACCATGGCTTCTCTATGTTTAAAAAGTCAGCTAAGTGTTCAATAACAGACTGCACCTCCTCCCCTCAATTAAGGTCTACTGTCATGAGAATCTCAGAAAAGAACAATTGTATTCGGTACTTCATTTGCATGCTATGAAACCACTGACCCTCCTGTTCTGGAGAGAAGATTTCTGTCAGTCTTTCCAGCCCCTTCACAGAAAAAAATTAATGTTTTTGCTCTTCAGTAAATTTACAGGGTAACCTCTGATCATCTGGAACAAACACCCTTTGAACTGGTACTACTTCCTATTTGTGTGATACATGTTTTCATGTTCTGTAAGTTGCCTAGGCAAAAGGCAGTATACCAAAATCACTCCTTGACAACATCAGAATACTGTATACCAGTGCAAGGAAGGGGAGGGAGAGAAGAGTTACTACGGAAAATCTCACAACTAAGTGACACAGGTATTCTTTATCATAAGCATTTACAGTTTTGGCAATATAAAGTAGAACAACCATCCTTCACATAGAACTGTGGTTTGAGTATCTTTTCATATCCTTATGAATGAAAACTACCCATCATACAAGCATGATGGATGGAATAAATCCCATCAGACTTTTTATGAAAGTTTTCATGCTGACACTGTAACTCTGAAACTCACAGTATATTTATCTTCAGAGTAGCCTCAGAACTGGCAGTCTTCATATGTGCTTACTAATGCTTTTCTTTTAAGAACTTATTTGTGTGAGGGGAGCCTGCCGGATAGACCTACACAATCAAATTATTTTCTCAAACATCAGTGACAAATCCAAAGGAACAACTGCAGCACAGGAATTAAGATTGTTAATTGCACAATAATACTGTGTTATCTTAATAGAGCAACTCCCATAACTATTTCAGAGCTCTCCAGTTAGAGCCCTCATACCTGAAATATATCTGCCGACATCCCTCAGCTATTATTCTTAGTACATCAAAGTCAGAGACAGAGTTTGGATACGCAATCTTATCTTTTCCAGATCCCTTCTGTCACCCTCAAGAGCAAACAGATGGTTAACTACGATGAGTAGGATCTACCCACATAGAAATTCAAAGGAAAATATAGAATTATTCACTTTACAGTCACTGCTGCTCTTTGGGCTGCTCTGTACATGAGAATGTCACCTTGCCTTATGCTTCCACTAGTGGAGTACAGCTCTGGTCTCACCTGAACTCTGAATGGCAGCTGGGAGCACGCTGTTCTACATGGTTCAGGATGAAGTAAAGGCAGAGGCTATACATGCCTCTCTGTGCCCTTTCATGAATGTAAAAATTACTCCAGGCTTCTACACAAAAGGTACAAGCAGACACAACCTGACCCACATGTAACAGTTTGAAGAGCAAGTTAGCTGTACTGCTTCCTAGCATACCACTGCCTTTTTCACAATCCTGAAGTGAGACAGTGGCTTTGTTTGATTCAACTATATGTTACTCATATTTACATAAACCAAAAAAACCCCTTATTTTTTGTGTACGATGTTCCTCTTTGTGCTTCAAAAACATTACAGGCGTACATATCAACAAATGGCAGCACAATCAATGACAAATGCAAAATACTTCAGAATAATATTTCATCAAAAGACCACTACACCTAGCAGCTTAGCACATCCAATGTAGGAAATATCCTAAAGGAGAAAGAGAAAGATTTCCATTACCTTTGAAGTCCTTATATCCCAAGCTTTAACTTCTGGGCTGAACCCTCCACAAATGAAAGTATTTGGCTCTGTAGGGTGGAACTTCAGCGCACTGATCCTAAATTCATTTTTGCTGCTAAATATTTGCTTCCCTAAAATAAAGTGAGAAGTGGAGATTAAAACTGAGCAGAAAATGAAATATATTATTAATTTCAACATAGTTTCAACAATAGCAAGGTTGTCAAAGGTAAAAATGTTTATATTAACATATTCCAAGTATCTGGGACTACTCTGATTTCTGAAAATACAAGACTGAACTCACTAATTTCTATCCATGTGAAACTGCTCCTACTTATGGGCCTCTATGCTTTTTTCTGAAAGGAGAGAATAAGTGCTTTCCCACACTGAGAGGAGCTCCACCAAGATCCCAGTTCAGTCACAATGCAGGACTAAATCTACAAATCTAATGGTTGTTTTTTTACAGAGAAGCCATAGTCTTTCTTTCAGTGGGATAAAAATAACTAGAACAAAATATTGTCTGTACCGAAATACCATGTCCCAAACTATACGACAGCTCTTGAATTGTTTACTTGTGAAGGTGGGAGTGAAACCTAATCTTGAAAGTAAGAAATAATTTGCATACCATCGTATGAAGGCAATAGCTGTTCCCATGGATACCCTGTTCCCAACATTCAATTGTGTACACTAATCTCTGCAGGATCCTGTGGTTAGTATCAATTGGGTTGGCGACACTTTTGAAGGTGTCAAAGAATTCAGCTAGGTTAATTTATAGGACTTTTCCACAGTCGACTGCTTCCTTTTATCCTAACAAATTCATGATATTCATGTGTATTTACTGAAATATCACTTTGTAACAGCAGCATGGACCAAGATAAATACATTTGCTCAGTTTCACAATTTCAGCTGTGCTTTATATTCTATATATCACATATAAAGATCTACATTAAATAAAGTTACTGTGTTAAGCCACTGTGAAGAAGGTACTACAGAAGTAAAAAAAAAAACCTTAAAATACTATGACAAAAGCTTCTTAAAATATTGATTAATCTACATGTTCAGCAAGTGAGAGTTTATTTTATTTTGTCGTCAGTTCCATTTTCCTCATCTGCTGAACTCAACTTATATAGTCAAGATGCCAAGATGTGTTAAATTATTTATTTATTCATTTTAAAGAAGAGATTTTACTTCATCATATTCAAGGCAGCCAGAGCAGGGAAAATAAATTGCAGGAAGCGTAAGGGAGGGGTGAGTGCTGTTCTACGTGAACTCTGATTTTTGTAGGGTTTTTTTGTTCTTTTTAAAAAGATTCTCCAACGATTACCCATGCAAGATCTAAAGGGTCTCTCTGTTACTACTGAGTGAAAGACTCAATTTAGTCCATAAGTGCCTTCCCCAAAAAGAGGAAAAAGTCATAAGGGCAGCAGAGGTTCCCTCTACAAGTCATATTCAGCAGTGACCATCTCTCACCATGGGAGCTTTTAGTAACCCAACAGCTACAAAAGGAAAAAAAAATATTCCCTAGGGAAGGAAGAAAGTATTAAAATAATCAGTTACAGAAGCAACAAGATATTGCTCTCATGTACACCACTACCAGGCATCATTTGCAGGCTTTAGAAAAGCCACATACACATGCGTCTTATCCACAGCACTTGAGAAAAACACAATTTCCCCATGGATGTACACTAGTCAGTGTAATAGCACTTTTCTCCCAAAGGAATTTGGTTCCTACTAGTACCTAGTTTAATAAATGCTCTGGGAGTACAATCAACAAGTTCTCAACGGTACTGCAGCCAGAAATTAGCAAAACTGCAGTCTACCTCTACTAATCCTGTCAAACAGCTTTATAAAGGACACATCAAGCAGCCACTATTCTCCATAAAGTGTGTTGTCCAAGCGGCATTAGACATATACATAAGTGATCAAGTGGAACTCATCATCTAATCTTCCGACTAATATTGTTTCACTGACTTTACTAAAATACTTTTTTACCACCACAAGACTTCTGAAAACTGCTTTTTCTGTAACGCATACATTTTTCTTGCCATTGTGCTCTCTAGCCTAAGACATGAGAAAGCCAGGTAAGACACAATCAAAAAAGATGTGCACTAAATTCAAGACGCAATTCATCTGCTAACTACAAGATCTGTTACTTTTTCCACAGCAGGAAGATTGATTTCACATAATTTGTTATTAATTAGTCCACCTTTCAATCTCATCCCCGTCTACTTCCAAGTAATTCAATCATTTGCTCAATATTTTCTCCAGAAACTAAAACTCTCTATTTCCCCACTCCATCTCCCCATTTTAAGATAGAAGTGAGCACTGTGCTTGCCATTTTCTTGTCTTCTAGAGTCTCTTATTTATACAAAAGCTCTCATAGCACCGAGATAATTACCGTGTAATTCTATGAATTCTACATTACAGCATAATACTAAATAAAAATTATACAAACAATTTGAGCATCCCACCTCTATACTCTTTGACCCCCTTCCTTTTCCTATTTTAACCCATTTGATGCAGATACTAACCGTGCTAGCTTTTTGACCGGTCTGAAGAGCAATCAGGATACACTAATCTTAAAAGGTCATGCTCTCCAACTAATACTTTGAAATACAATCTTCTTTCTCATTCACTCACCGCCACCACCACTCCCCAAGTGAAATAAAATCAAATGTCTCTTTCTGAAAGCTCAGTAAACAGTGTCCTGAAGAGTCTGGCATTATTAGATGCATACATGTATTTCATTCCACTGCTGTGTCACAGAAAATGAGAAAAAGGCTGGAATGTAGAAAAGAGGAGCACAGGAGCAAAGAAGCAGGAGATAACATACTCAAAAGGGGAAGGTCATAACAGTATAGCAAGGAAACCCTCCTATTGCTAGAACTGAAATTTACGGACAATACACAGAATCTAAATTGGTCTGCTTCCCATATAAACATGCCTGAACCCAGCAAAACTAACCTTCCTAATACTTACATGAACGAATCCCTTAAACCCTTCCCTTTTAGGGACTGCAGGGCTGGAGTGCTGAGGCACATTCTCTACACAGTTATGAAACCACCTTCAGAACCTCAGAAACTTAGGAAAAATATCCAAGAGATGGAACAGATCACTGTGGAAGATGATGCGAGGCAAAACAGCTCATGCAATTCAGCATGTTAAAACCACAATTGCAACTCTTAGTCCCTTTCCATACAAACTTTATTTAGTGTGTTTTACTACCATGAGCAGAACCTTCTGCTTCCCAGGCTGTAACCGTGCTGTGACAGAACCTAGCCCCGTGGCTAGGGAAATTCAGCTTCAGTGTTTGCTGGAGACCCTTCTCCACCTTTCTGGAAGACGGTATTTACAGTTATATATATTTTTTCTACAACTGTTCAGTTTATTAACATCAAACATTCAACATTTGGGGGCTTTATTTTACATATTGCAAAAGATGTCCTTCGAGGAGAAGACTCCCTTATCCATAGAGTACAACAGCTGTAAATCAGCAAGCTTGTATATATGTTTACTGTGTATATATTTATGGTATTTTAGTTCCTAGGGGCAGCATAACAAAGATTCAACCAATTCCTAGGCTGTAGAAAATTACATCTTCTGAAAATCTATTTGGCTAATTGAGGCAAAATCCATACTACGTATCATTTTCCTGTATGAGAGGTTGTTATTCCAAAGCAGAAAGCAAACGTTTCTCCCAATCTTTAATTTTCACGATTTCAGTAACAATATCTACTACATCTTTGTAGTGTGTTTTATATTCTTCAAGTGTTTTAATTCAATTCTTCATTCATTAAAGGCTCACCACTAAAATACACAGTATGAAAAAGAATCTTTAAAAATATCTTGAACATATGTTTCTGCTCCTTTACACTGCAGCCTACTGTGAAACTGCTCAACTATGAAATCAGATATTTTAAAGGCTATTTCACATCTTGAATTTTTCAAAGAACATCAGCACAGTTATTGAGTACAGGATGCTTCTATAACTGTGTTTAGTGGTCCTCAGGTTCACACCCCTACCTGCACAATACAAAAACATCCCTTCCTTACACTAATCTGTCAAGAAAAGTGAAGCCTAAGACTTACAAGGGCATGAGAGTTCTCTTGCTAAGCAGAACATATTTCCCTACTGTGTTTACAAAAAGACACAAGACAATATATTAAAAAAAATGTCATTACAGTTACAATCTTTCTCATGCACAATAGTGAGAAGAAAATTAGATTGATCAGACATAATTTGTTCTTAACAAACTGATGTTGGCTGTTACTTATCCATTTGATCTTGCTGCATTTACAAATTGTTTTATTATTTTTCCAAGAACTAAAGTTATACTGACTATATGGGTTTCCCAATTTTTTCCCCTACATAGTCACAAGTTTCTGGCATGCAAAAGTGCTTGAAATATGAAAACGTTTTATCTTTTACCCTTGAAAATGCCGCCCAAACAAACATCTTTCTATCTTCGTATTGCAAGGACTTTACATTAGTGAGTATAAAAAGTAAAATGTTGCTACCTTCTAGCTGGAGAATGACCACTAAACTATGTCAATATATTACTTAAAACTGCTGAATTTTAGGGGGAATATTGTGACCTCACATCAAAGATGCCTATATGCATTCAAAAGCAAAAAATAAAATAAATTTTAAAAAGAAAAATAAATCAACTGGGCTTTTTTCTGAGGTGTCATATAAAACCTTCATGCATATTAAACCAATATACTATCTACACAGTACTTGGAGAGAAGGGGACGAATAGGAGAAGAGTGTCATAGCTCTCTTGAGGTGATGTTTATGTATAAGCACTAAAACTCTTATGGGAACAAATACAATGACATTAATAATAATGCTATATCTATAGGACTACCAAATTCTAATATAAAAGAAAAGACAGAAAAGCAAATTTAGACCATCTTATTGGAGCTACAAAATGTTTCATTAAGAAACTCTCAAAATAGTGTAAAATAAAACAGGCTAAAAAAAACCACAAACCAGATTTAAGTGACCATATTACATATAACCTGAACTTCCCTTCAAAACCAACAGCTTAACTTTGGTAACCTCGTTGTGGTAACGTGAAAACTTTCAAAATAATGGGGAATTTAAATTCTCCATTATAACTCTGAGGATGGTATATTTTAAATCAAATTCAGTCCATGAACTAAAATACAACTGCAGCATTTGTCAAAGTAGGAAATGTGCCAAAATTTCTTGAAACCTTCCTTCTGTCATAATATTAAAGAAATGAAAAGTATCTACAGTATGCATACAGTATCAACCCAGCCGATGTTCTGCCTATGCTATTGTGCCGTTTCATTTGTGACTAATGAAAAAAACACTGATGAATAAAACATACATTCCAAAAATAAAATAGTTATAAATAAATTTTAAAAATACAATTACCCTTCTAAAGTTGGTAGAGCATCTCCATTACATCTGGACGTAACAGAAGCTAAATGTCAAATGTATTTGACCTAGAATTGTTTTAAAAGCTTTTTTTTTTCAGTGCTCTCTGAATACAGCACTACTTACTACTCTGTAAATAACAAAGTGTCTGAACTATCACTAGTAGAAAATGACTGCGGATGTGGTGTTAGTAGAGATTAACAAAACCAGGGAGTCTCACTGGTACAGACTGCTGCATTATTATCACATTTGTAAAACCTTTCAAAAAGCTTTATTTTTATAAAGAAATAATGTTTATAAAATAGGACAATAAAAAAAATTAACCAGTAATCTTTAGAGGCAGCTCAGCTGCAGTTTTTGGATCTATTAATATTTATGAAGCCCTATATTGCAGTACTGAACTTGCCTCATGCAAACTGTAACCACAGAACCACTCACGTGAATGACGCATGAATAACCTTGAGTTCCTTAAACATTTTATGCATATTTTGGATCAGACTCAACTGAATACAAACAACAGTTTTCAAGAAAACTGTATTTGTGAAGAGTCTTAGCTTGACATCCTGAAGTTAGGACAATGGATAACAAACGATGATCTATAAGAAATGAATTTAGAAAAAGAAGGCTTGTGCAACAGCATCTATTTTCACCAAACTAGAACAAGTGAACTCCTTGTACCTCAATCATTGAATTCTCCTCTTCCCATTCCTCATCATAGCATCAACAAATTATGTATGTTGGACCTCCACGGGTCATCTAGCCAAATCCCTACTCAAAGTAGACCCAGCTGCAGCAGGTTACTTAGAGGTCTGTCCACTGAAGTTCTGAGTATCTCCAGGTATAGAGACTCCGCAGCCTCTCTGGACAGCCGTTTTAGTGTTTGATGACCCTTGAGTTGAGCCAAAAAGTCTCCCGTGTTCCTACATTTGTCCTTTGCCTCTCATCCTTTCACTGTCCATCTCTGAGAAGAGACCAGTATCACCTTCTCTGTATACTAGGGAAACACCTGCTAATCTGGCCTGGGATGAAGCTGACCTTTGCAGCATGAGAACAACGCTGATTCATATTCAGCACCAGGACCCTCAGGTATTTTTCTACAAAGCTGATTCCTAGCCAGTTTAGCACCAGCCTTTTCTGTTGCACAGGATTACTCCATTTCAGATGCAGGACTTTGCATTTGTCCTTGTCGAACATCATGAGGTTCCTATCAGATCATTTTTCCTGCTTGCAGCATCTCAGATCTTCTTATATATAAAAACTTTTGTTAAATACACTTGACAAGGGGAAGAGGTTTGATAGTGTAAAACTGCAGGATAAGATTTCATGGATATGTCTTCCACACTGGCACCAGGATTTCTATGACAACAAAAAAAATTCTGCTTTGTCATTAATAGTATTTCAGAGTTTCCTTCTATTCTGATGGTGTTCTGATCACAAAGATTAAAAAAAAAAAAAAAAGGAAATCACTCCAGAAAATGCAATATTCTAGGACAAAGGATACCCAAATTTAAGTCCAAGCTTAGAAGTAAAATTTCCTGGAGAATTTATTCTAGCACTGTTCATTACAACAATGCTGGCACATTCATTTGAAGAATCTTGTAACTAGCTGTCATCAGACCCAGAACAAACAACTAGCTAGACTACAATTTTGATTTAATAGGGCAGAAACTATGTTCCTAACAGAAAATCAATACAAAATGACAAAAAAACCACAACTAAGCAGCTCAATACCACGAATGTACTAAGCTGTATTTGCAACCTTTCCCAAACCTTTAAAAGTAATTCTCTTCAGACTGTCAGGTTTCTTTTGGTGAAGGACATGTAGCAATTTTTATAACACAGATGTAATATATAAAATCTATACTGAAAACAAAGATGAGTTAAGATTAGACTTTAGCAAGCATGACTAGAAATATGTAGAACCAGAACATACACAAGAGGCGAGAGCATCGAGCCTTAAAGACAGCATCATTATTTATAAAATCCCACTGGCACGCATTTACTGCATCTAAACACACTGGTAGTTAGTTCAGTCTAGCAATGGAAAGTAATTAAGACTGAAGTCCAAAAAAGCATCTAAAAGTCCTCTGTAAAGGAACAGTTCTAACATCTATCTGAAGTTAATCAAAGAAATCATCTCAGCACTGATGAAGAGTGAGGAGGAATGAATGATTCAGTGAACTAATGTAAATCAAAATCTTATAGCTGCCTTCATGTTTTTCAAATGGAAATGAGGCTTTTTATATTAAATTGATTTGGATTCCAGAAGCAAACTGCTTGTCCTGGTTCTCTGAGAAGAATTGACTGAAAAGTATGAAAAAAAAAAGTAACTTTACAACAGGGAAGCAAATCAGGATCTAGCCTGCATGCATGGGAAATCAGAATAAAATTCCAATCACTCATATCATACTTTTCCAAATGAAGTGTGTGCATATCGCTGAAAGTCAGGTCCAAATATCAACATTACAACTGCAGTTCACAGGAGCTACAAAGAAAACTGCGTCCTTGAAATAAGGCAATAATGATTATCTAATATTTTAAAGGATTATAAGCATTCATTTTGCCTCTACACATACAGTTTATGTAGGCAGTTAGAAATAATACATGTCCTCACAAGTTAGTAAGGAAAGAATCATTTACAAGCTTATCTGTTTTGAAACTTGGTAAATAGAATTTGTCGCTGTTGACATTGCCTAAAACACTAGAAACACCTTCTTTCAGATGAACCACTGCAACCAACTTAATCCAGACTACTATCCCACTCCTGTATAGTTAAGTCAAAAGAGATGTCAGAAATTAAAACATATAACCAGTCTATGATTCTATGATGAAAATTACATACCTTTGTGATTTGTTCTGTGATTTTATAAAGTGAGACTTTCCCCTTAGTAGTCCCTTTGAATGACTCAGGCAAATAAAATCTATTCTACTGCTGTAAATCCCACTAACAGCAGTAGCCATTCTGTTGAGAATTTATAAGCACTACAGTCAAAATCAAATCCCCTTAGATTAGTAAGATTCAGTTATATGTGAGACTAGAAATGAGAAGGTTGCTGCAATGAGACTGAAAATAAAAAAAAAGACAAGAAGTCTGACTAAATTAATGACTTGGTATATTAACATCATGTACTACTACTACATCAGATATATAAAGCTCTTTTCCCCATTAAAAAACCTGAATATTATTGTAACATCAATATTCCATAACAGTGTCACACGTTCTACATTCCCAAACTACAAAAGCTCCCTTCCAGCCATCACTGAATTTAAATATTTCTGGTATGACAAATGTTGAGAAAAATAAATTCTTAGAGCATGGAAAATAATTTTCTTTTCATGTGAACAATATCCACAAATTTCACTGGCTGCTTTCCCAGTTCATCTGAATAGGACTTCTGCTCTCCAGATATTCACATACAATGTACTCCTTATTTTTATTTAACAGAAAATCCTCCTAGACAAGAAATTCTTGTTACTTTTCTAAGGATTTTTTTTGTAGTCTTAAAAAAAAATATTGCACCTTTGCAAGATTTAAACATTTAGAAATATTTTAAGTGGAAAAAATAAAATTACATCTCTTCAGTTGACAAGGTACTCTTTTTGGCCTAATCCTTCATTTATACACACACAGAGGTGCCCTATTATGTCCAGTCCCAATGAATGCTGCTTTACAAATGCTGATAACACATATAAAGGAGAGAAGTATAGCTGATAGAAGCACTTTTGTTCGTGGAGGAGACATGAGGAGAGACAGCATCCAGGAAATTAGTTAAGGTCACAGCAATCAAATCCCAAATAAAATTCATGACTTCATCAAAGCAACACAGGTTCAGTCTCAAGCTTTCATACCAAAAGTTAAGTTTCTATACTCCTAATTAAGGTCCTATTCAGGAAAAAAAAAAATCACCTAATTAACTTTAAGCACAAAGTTAAAACCAATCCAACTGAGAATGAGGTACAAACCTATGTTTAAATCAACCATATGTATAAATCTTACTGAAGTCAGCCTTAAGAGTCTCTTCAAACGCTTTAATGAATGATCATGACAGAGCATAAAAAATACGTTTCATTCTGTTCATCTGTGCTGTCTCTGACAATAGAAATTACATTATGATCATGAAGTTAAAGATATTTAAATTTTCTTAAATATCTCCATCTACCCTTACCTGCTGAGATTTTTTTTTAGTGAGGACATGTTTCAAGAATTCTAACTTTGATCTATAGATTTTATCTATATTTTTAGAAGAAAGAATAAAGCTAATGAGATCCAAATTATCTGTACTGTATTAATAACAATAGGGCTATAATGCACCCTTATGTGACTTTTACCTGTTTCGACATCCGTTAAATGCACCATGGAATCAAAGCCCCCACTGAGGATCCTTCTTCCACAAGATGACCACCGGGCAGCTCGAACAGCACAGGAGTGACAGGAATATGTTTTTAAACAGCAGCCTATATCTACAGCATCCCATACCTTAAAAAGAAGGATAAGAACAGCTTTATAAAGAATCACAATTTTTTTTCAATGTACTGATAAGTACCTATAGCAAATCATCGTGGCTGAGAAAGCTTTGCATTCCAAAGTTGTATCTGCTAAGCTGTAAAAGTCTGTTTGAAATAATTGCACAGTTGATTAGAATTAGGGTGTTTAATTAACAACACACAAATCAGTAATACATTTTTATGACTTATGTTATTTCTTGAAAAGTCTACATTGCTCTCAATGGCAATTCATGTTATACTTCCCCAATCATAATACTGTCCTACCTTTGTGCAGGGATACATCCAAATACGTTTTCCCTTTAAGTAATTTTTCTTCCAAATTTTTGTCTCTATCATATCTTGCTTTCCCCAGTAAGAGGAATCCTAGCAGATTACAGCTTTCACATCTACCTACAGATAAGCTATTATCATATTTCTCACTCAGTTTGTAGTTTTTAGGAAGAGTTTTACCTTAACTTCATTGAGAAGGCAGATAAGAACATCATCATGCATCTACATGGACATTTCCAAGGGCTGCTTTAAGTCCTCTCATTTTTCACTTTCTTCTGGACATCATTAGGATGATGCTGAGCACTTCTGAAAACCCTGTTCTACTAGTTATCCATTTTTTTAAGTGTGTAACAGCTAATATTTTCATAACATAAATACTCCTGCTCATATCTTTAAAAAAATTTTTAGAGAAAGGCCATTGTTTCCAAATATTACATTTTAGAAAATAGAACTAGTCTGAATCATAATTTCAATTACTAAATATATTTCACAATAACCAAAGCACATCCTTTTCATGGTACTCATTTTTTCATCATTTTAAGATAAAATTAGAATTTTATCAACAAATTACCCATATAAAGATCCAGTATGATCACTTCTTTGAGAGAAGGATAAATATCAAAACTATTTTCCCTATGAATATTCTGCTTCAGTAAAAGCTAGATTATAAAATATCTTATGACTGTATGATACAATATAATACCTGTTGAGTTGTCTAATAAAATGGATACCAAATGCTATAACCATACCAGTAAACCCTACATTTTATTACTTCTAATATTAGTAGTACAAATAAATCAATACTTTGACAGTGCTTCGTGATAGTTTTATTGCAGTTTCAGTAAACCCAAGGCAGTTTATTGCTTTAAAGTCACCATTTCACTTCATGGTACTTCTCTTTGCGATTAGTCATTTTCATCCTGCAAAAACCTGCAGGATGAAAACAACGCTGCCTATGAGCTTAAAAGGTTATTCTGAATTTTGTCTATTCTAATCAATTTCTCAGGTCTAAGGTTGTTTATATAATGCTGGGAACATGCAAACAGGATACAAAAAATTATTTTTTTTAAAAGTGAGTTCAAATTCAACCTTCATGTATGTTGACACAACTGCACTGAAGTTAGTACTACAATAAAATGGACAGCATGTTTGTGCATTTTAAAGGATGTTAAAAACAAAAACAACTCAGTAAATCAGAAAACATAAGTAGATGTTCGCCTTCTTGTGGCAACAGCACAATTCACAATATAGGAGAATGTAAAGGGGGAGAAAAAAGCAAGACTTTTGGCAACGTATTTTTATCTTCAATTATATTTTCTTCTTACTGGACAAAAAGGATTCACTGACAATATCATTATTATATAGTCCATACTCAGAAGACAACATTCCATTACAGAAAATTATTTCATCAAAGTATCTTCTAGCACGAAGCGCAATTCTGCAATGCAAAGCAACCAATTATCATTAATTACTTGAATAGTCTGCTAAGACTGGAACCATGATGGCCATACCCTAAGTATTCTACCCTATCCACAAGAAAAGAAATCATGAAAATTATAATATTAAACTGCTTTTGAAAGTAAGTTTCTCTGCTTTAAGAAGTTTTAATGATCATTTCAAGCTTCACAGTATTAAAAAAGGGTTAATTGTGTCTTGGAGGGCTTTTAATAGGAGGAAGCTAATGAATGAATCAAGATGAAAGGAAACACAGGTGGTACATGCTTCAGATATTTTTCTGTCATGTTTTAGTGATTAAGTATGAAAACTCAATTTTCACAAGAAAGATGATGTAAAACAAGTTCAACAGCACTTCTGAGTTCCCACTTGATTAAAAAAAAAAGCTGTATAAATGGAAAAAGTGCACCTCTAAAGCTGCACATTTCCCTCCATTATGTGAAACGGAACAAATAACCAACACCACTGGCCATGCACAAGGGATGAGCTACCGAATATCATGTTTTTCCCCACTGTTACGCTTTCCATCAGCTCTTTTTGTCAGGTAACGGTGGTGCTGCAATGCCTTCTGGAATTAGAGCTGCATCAGTAAGGCAGTCTTGACTGAGGGAATTCACTTAGTTTATTGCCTATTAACGTAAACTTTTAATTACAGAGTCAAGTATTGAGGAAAAAAGACCAAGAGGTAAATGAGCACTTAGGGAAGCATCCTTCCTCTCCAGGCCCCACTTCAGTCCAGCTCTTCTCCTCCCCTATTCCTCCCCCAGTTTCCCTTGTTTTCACCGAGTGTTACTCTTGGTCCCTTCTACATCCCTTTGGCAAGACAACGGTCATGGCAGGAGGCTGGGGTCAGGGCCTAGAGGTTTCTTTTTGCCTCTCCTTGCATCTTACTCTTTTTGTCTCTTGCTCTTTGCTTCTTACTGCTTCTCCGCTCCTTCTCTGCAGATGCACAAGTCTTTCCCTGTCTCCTCCCATCACCTTCTGTGTGTCCTCACACACATCCTTGTGTTTCCTCATGTGTGTCCTTGCGCCCTCTGCCCTCAGCAGCTGCTCCTTTTCTTCAGTATGCGTGAAATGAGGCACCACATGCTCCTCCAAAGTTCTGCCCCAGAGAGAGCTGGTTTTATCCACTTTGGAGTGAGCTGAAACCAGCTGTAGCAGCACAGGGTGGCTCACGACCTCCTCCCACGCAGGGGAACCCTGCAGCCCTTGCTACCAAACCCCACAGTTTATGCCCAATACAAGCAGCCAGTTCAGACAGAAAGTTAGGACAGACCTCCATCAAGATATGGTCCAACATAAATTCACTGGAACCCACAAATGTGCTTTTAAATAATGCTAAGGGGTGACACTTCTGCTGTGGCTTCACAGCTTAATGGATAGAGAAATCAAACAGGGCAGCAGAAGAAGATGGCAGACTGTCCTGCTGTGCAGTGGAAATGCTCTGCAAGCAAGTTGTATTTTAAATACCAAAGGCTGCTAATTTTAAGCATACCTAGTAATAAATACCTTTAAAATAAAGGTTTATAAAATAAACTCATAGATCTACATGGAATAAAGGCTTACATATTTACTACATAATAAATTACTCAGGCAGGGGAACAGTTCAATGAAAAAAAACCACAGGCTGAGATATGTATCCTCCTTCATAGATATTTAAACGTGTATCAAGTACTATAGGACTAGATGCTATCATGCATCTGTCCGAAAGGTGGGCAGATTTATATTCAATTATTTTTATCAAGAGATCAACAGTTTTAAGTGTCGTTGCTTGACTTCAAACCCCAGATCTTACAGACACTCAGTATCATTTCTAGACGAAATACTAAACTCCCATGATATCTGAAGTTGTTCTTTTATCTTGTGATGTCAGATGTAATTTTGAATGCTCATTTAAAAAGTTAAAAGCAAACATTTCAGCCTGCTACTCTGAAAATGCTGCTTATTTACACACATTCAAGCAATGTTTTACATTATAAACGCTAATCAGTTTATCCTTTCCCTTTACAAAGAATCCCAAAAACAATGAAATGCGCAAATGTTTTTAGGAAAAAGGTACATATCAGTATATATTATCTCACCTAAATCTACAATTACAAACTAATGAATTCTCCAATATTTGAAAGAAATAAACAGTCAAGACTCAAAGCTTTGAAATTAGCTAGTTATTTTCAAATATTTTCTTCAATGCCTTTATCTCATTAAGGTATCATGAACACTTTAATTGCCTTTTTTCCAATTTTATTAAACTGGTATTAACATGTCAAGGTGATTCATATTTCACTACTAGTTCTTACTCTTCTGTACTTCACTATTTACAGCATTGCCTCTACATTTCTTTTCCACCAACTGCATTTCATTTCCTCTCATATTATAGAAAGTATGGTGATCATATTGCTATCTGCTAGGATTAATATAGGGGACAAAAATGGCCCCAAACAATGACAGCAGCCCTGAGGAGAAGGACTTGGGGAAGTTGGTTGATGAGAAGGTTAACATGACCCAGTAATGTGCACTCGCATCCCAGAAAGCCAACTGTATCCTGTGTGATCCGCAGGTTGAGGGAGGTGATTCTCCTCCTCTGCTCTCATGAGACCCCACCTGCAGTACTGCATCCAGCTCTGGAGTCCTCAGTACAGGGAAGACATGGACCTGTTGGAGAGGGTCCACAGGAGGGCCACGAAGATGGTCACAGGGCTGGAGCACCTCTCCTACGAGGACAGGCTGAGAGAGTTGGGGTTGTTCAGCCTGGAGAAGAGAAGGCTCTGGGGAGACCTTATAGCTGCCTTCCAGTACTTCAAGGGGGCTACAGGCGAGATGGGGAGGCACTCTTGATCAGAGAGTGTAGTGATAGGATGAGGGGTAATGGATTTAAACTAAAAGAGGATAGATTAGATGTAAGGAAGAAATTATTCATTATGAGGGTGGAGAGGCACAGAACAGGCTGCCCAGGGAAGTTGTGGATGCCCCCATCCCTGGAGGTGTTCAAGGCCAGGCTTTGAGCAACCTGGTCTAGTGGGAGGTGTCCCTGCCCATGGCAGGGGGGTTGGGACTCGATGGTCTCTAAAGGCCCCTTCCAACCCAGACTATTCTATGATTCTATGGCAGGTGCAGCCAAGTGACAAAACGACACTAGAGATTTCTCTATAAAAGTAATTTTCTTCTTACTTTCTCTGAGGCTTGTTGTAACTCAATTGCTCTTTCACATTCTTCATAACATTTGGAAATAAAGGCTTCAGAAATTGC